CAAAGATTGCTGACACATTTCCTCTTTATATGGAATTAAATGAAATGCTGTCGTCGCCGCATTAAGAAGACGCTTAATGCTTGGTGCGACACTATGAGATGTGGAAGGATTTTCCTCTCTTCTGAAAGTGGTTTGCGTTGGAAACTATATATTCACAAATGTCAGTGGTCAGGAAACTAGCATGTCTTATGCAGTTTTAAGTGTAAACGTGTCTACTGAATTAATCATGTGTCTGAAATCAACAGCCACCCGATCCACTTCTCAGAACCAGGAAAGAGGTTATGTTTAACATGATCTTCTTATTGATATTGATCGCCACACAGTCCACAGGGTTATATGAACTATGTTTTTAATAAGAAGAACTCCACAGGGCAACATGCACAGCAGGGATCCACCAATCATCAGTGGAAAGATCCTTCGACGATTGTTTCTAATTTTGGCCCATTACTTCCTAGACCCTCTCGGAAGGTGGGCCGGCCTGGTTCATGAAGCCAGGTCTTCCCTTTATCGGACGTTCGGACAGGGGTTAGCTAAAATGTACTATATTAAAAGCAAATTTGAAGGTTGTAACTTATATTCCACTACGCGCTAGATGTTGCCATAATGCACTGCAGTGGTATCTTCTTCTTCTTCACGTTCACCGGCTGTAAACTCTGGGGAAAAGTTCTGGTTGTCCACACAAACGACTAATGACTTATTTACTAACGACTAATGACTAATGATTACTGAGCAATGGCTAATGACTAAAAGCTAACGACTAACTACTAACGAATATTGGCTAATGACTAATTACTCATGACTACTAACGACTAATGACAAATAACTAACAACTAACGGCCAGTGACTAACGACTAATTACTAACCACTAGTGACTAACCACTTACCTCACACAGGTAAGATATCCTCACATCAGTGATAGTCTCAACGACAACAGACTTAGTGAACCAACCGGTGAAACCTTCATTTATGGCTGGGCCCGCTGTTTCTGTCTAAACATGGCCATTATGTTTATTGGATACGTGTATACACCGGCCAGATAATAAGGCAATAAGGGATCTATAAATGTAAAGTTAGCTCTCTGACAAGGCAAGTCTATAGATCTCTTTGTGTTTTCGAGATCAACGATTTGAAACGTTATACAGGAAATCGTCGGCACAACTGATAAACCTAACAAAGGTTGTTTCGTATCCTTTTGCGGACGTTACAAGATCAATCCTAGAGGTTTTTGGCTGTCGTGGGTTTCTTTGGTGGGCTTAGAAGTTTTGATTGTTCAATGATATATATGGCAGTGGACACGTACCTGATGACCTTTAGAAATCTCTTTTCATACCTTTACCAAAAACATCTGCTGCAATGGAATTTGGAGAACATCGAACAGTTAGTTTAATGAATCTTGTGACTAAAATAAAAAGGAGAATTATCATGAGAAGAATAAAGTGCAAAATTAAACCAGAAATTGGAGAAAATCAATATGGTTTTGTTGAAGGTAAAGACACAAACAACGCCATATTTATCTTGAGAACACTTTCAGAAAGAATGATTGACACGAATAGAGATCTGTATCTGTCCTTTATTGATTACACTAAAGCATTTAAAAAAGTGAAACATGAAGAAATTATTTTTTTTTTTTTAATATCCTGAAACCATGAGTTCTTAACCCTTTGACTCGGTACAATGGATATCGCAACCCTTCGGCCTTGATACATGATAGGTACCGTAAATCTTGAAGAAATGTGGCTTTTCTGCATACCCATGGGAGTGAACCCGGACCACAAGGAGTTCGTCACCCGGTCACCGCGATGTCAGGTTTAACCAACTACGCTATCGAACCGGGTAAAGAAATTATTAGAATTTCGGAGACTTCAAACATTGATCGTAAAGATCTAAGAATAATAAAAAACATATACTGGAACAGGAAGCAGCCATAAGAGTTGACAACCAAGTTGAAATTTTTCTAAACATTAAACAAGGCGTTAGACAGAGACGTGTATTATTTATTACACTGTTTAATCAATTATGGGACCTCTCCACGGTGATCCTCATCCACATGGTGGCACTTTGTGTCATCGAGTGTTTATCGCTTGTGTGATGTCCTAGTGGGGTAGAAAGTCAGTCAGTCAGTAAGTCCCGAAAGTATACATATCGGAATTCCTTGATAGTGTTTTTCAATTCATTCGCTAAAAATACCAGCTATGCCCGTAACATTTTTGGATCTGTCAAATTATTCTTAGGCAAAACCTTCTATCTTTTCCTGTTAGATGTATGCTTTCTTTATACACCCTATTCCTCATGCTGATGGTTAGCAGGCAGTCCGGTTCTTTTTGAATAGGAGGGACAACCCCGACATCTCCACTTGGGTTCCTGTCCGCATTGCTGAATTAGTAATTACTCTTATTTCTCTTGAGTTTCACGGCGAGTATTTTGACCACGTCCCGGGAAGTAGAGGCGGCCGGCGTGATGCTGACCATATCACCCATCTTGTGCCGATAGTCTATATAAATATAGAGCTACCCTATATGCCCTATACGCCTAAAGGCGTGGAAAAGGGTCCTTAACTTTACTTTTCTTTATTTTGACCACATCAGTTGTGTCACCAAGGGTACCAAAATAAGTCCCAGTTATGAATGCCTTTTTATAGGGTTTCTTGGGCACCATGGAAAATTCCCTGAAGTGTTTAGGAGATACAGAAAGGAGGTTAGTAGCCTCAGCTTTGTAGTTTGTGCAGATATCACCTGCTGGGAGAAAGTTTTTCTCTACACTGCTGCTGCCGTTTTTGTTATGTATTCTTGAATCACCATTTCTGGTTACATTTGTGGCAGGCCCTCCAGTGAAGACCTCGGTCGAACAATTTTGAGATACTTCTAAAAAAAAATATATTAAAAGCTAGCTTTCTGTTTTATTAAAGCGATAAGGTGAATGAATGAATGAATGAATGAATGAATGAATGAATGAATGAATGAACGAATGAATGAATGATTTGGCATCACTGTGCTAGGCACATTCTCTTATAGGCTTAATTTCTCTCTTTAGTAGAGAGCGAAACATTCGTATTCTCATGGAGTTGCAACCTGAAAAAAAAGTTCGCTTGTTTTCCCCATGCGAATGGAAAATCGTCAAGAACCCCAGCTCACTGCCATTTGTATCATTCTCTCCAGATATTGATTATCTTCTGCTGCTCTGTTTACGTAATCCCAGAGACTCTGCAATTAGCTTACCGCCCAGAGGTTCGGAAGCAGCTGTTTTATCAGCCTGCTCTTTATCAGGTTCACCGAATTATCCTGAAAAAAAAAGATATTTTTTTTTGTAGGGTCTCCATAACTTACATTAAGGACCTTCTTTCTCTTCTTCTTCAGTATTACGAGCTCTCGAGGTTCATTGCTGTACCCCCTTCATTCATCTCTCTGGTTGGTCTTCTCTTTCCACTTGGTAACACAAAGTGTTTGCAGGTCTGTGTGGACATTATCTCTCCATCGTCTTCTTGGTCTCCTTCGTGGTCTACCACTAATTATCTCCCTTGTGCATACAGTTTTTAACTTCTCTGTCATCTGATATTCTTTCAATATACCGCGATCACTTTAGTCAATTAGCTCTCATGATGCCAGTGATCAAAAGTGATTTAAACAAACAGGACTTGTTTCAATGAAATCAAATCTCTTTCACTAAACACTAAAAATGCTGTCGCAGAAGTATTATCTAATTTAACTGCGAAAAGACAAGACAAACAATTCAGTTAAGTTGTTTGGAATATGCATTTAATTCCGCTTTTAAAAAGTCGCTGGTTTATAAAGAAACAAAATACTGGTGATGCAACCAAGGGAATTGCAACCACTAGGTTATTTAGGGGCAGACGAACATGAGGTAGACATTCAGAAGGATACAGACATTTACTGACAGATGTTTAGCGGCGAACGAAAATAGAAGCAGAAGTTGTTCAGTCTAACAGCAAGTAGAGCCTGGGCTAGCGACAGGGGGTTTTGGAGATCCATTGCAAGCAGCCTTCATTGATGGGGTTGCTCCTAATTGATTGATGGGTACTGCTTTAAGCAGAGAGTAATAGAAAATGTTTTAAATACTGCAAACATGCTATCATAATGTGGGAGGAACAATTCAGTTGCTGAAGATAAAGAAAACAGAGGACTGATGAAATTTAAAGGATAATCGGAGTAATGGAAGCCCTGGATTTTATTAGAAGACAGCAGGTGAAATGGTTTGTGCATATAATGCGGATGTCAGCAAAGGCTATACCACAACAACCAATGATGAACATATCAGGCGGGGAGCCAAGAAGAGGCCGACCATGCAAACTATGGACAGAGACACTGATTGAGTCCCTGGGAATCCCCGTTTTTGAAACGGACAGACCAGTACTTTCCCGCAAGTTAGACTTCACCTCGACTCTGCAAGGTACCAGCGGATCAAGATATGATGAGAGACCTGATTACCTGTGTCAGAACAATTCACATTCTTTGAGGACACCGTGAATAGAAGAAATTAGAGTATACGACAACAGTGAAGGTCCCAATAAGGATTCTGGGGCCCAATTTGGTGGAATTGAGGAGTGGGGAGTGGCCAGGGGGAGGGGGTGGTGGAATAAATCCAACGGCCTTTAAAAACTACTTAGAAGCTTTTCGGAGTCCATTGGCCTGTGAGACGAGAAACTAGCCGTCTGCTTTAAATTAATCCAAATCTGTAAAACGGGTGTGCACGCAAAACGCAAGTTTTGGAACACGGTCAAAGTGCAGATGTCTACGAACAACTAGAACGTTCCTCATGACGTTACACCTGTTGAAGGGGCTATGAAGAAGAGGGAAACGCCGGAGGAGGAATTAAGAAGAAAAAATGTGGACAGTTGCTCATCATGACTGAAAAAACATCCTTACCAGAAAAAATTAATAGTACATAATGTACAAATATGTGGACAAGAGCGATTACCAGAGCCCCATAGCATAGACTATGAGAATAAGATCAAGTAAATAACCCCGCTGCACTGTTGGCACACATCAACCTTCTGATATAGTCCAATTCGGGTTTGTAAATGTTGCGGTCCGCACTATGGCAACTCGCTGTTCTAAATCATGGAATCTAGTCATTGTGTCATCAATAATCGTTGTCCCTGTACAATCTCCCAAAGTTTCAGTCGGACACCGGCGATAGTGATGAAGAACAGCTTCACTGGTAGCTACCTTTGGCCTGTTAAAGTTTGAAGAAGTAAGCATCATTTTAATAAGGGCTTGCAAAAAAATACATATAAGTAATTTTGTACATATATTCTATTTAAACACATTCTTTTCTGTTTATATTATTTTGTCCTGTTTGTACTGTTCTAGTCCATTAAAGGCTAATCTAATATGTTCTGTTCTATCTATTCAGTTATGTTGTGATTTTACTTTTTCATTCTCCTCTATTATTTCCTCTTCTGTTTTGTTCTTTTATATAGTAAAGTAGATGATTATTATTATAATATCTCCATATGTACACCAACAGCAGCCGTTAAGCATAGAATAAACTCAATGTATCAGACCTGCAACAAGATGGCTAGATCTGTCGCCTGGACTGCATCTGGATTTGTCTAAACTAGATAGTAAGATCTGTCGCCTGGACTGCATTTGGATTTGTCTAGTAAACTAGTTAGCAAGATCTGTCGCCTGGACTGCATCTGGATTTGTCCAGTAAACTAGTTAGCAAGATCTGTCGCCTGGACTGCATTTGGATTTGTCCAGTAAACTAGTTAGCAAGATCTGTCGCCTGGACTGCATTTGGATGTGTCCAGTAAACTAGTTAGCAAGATCTGTCGCCTGGACTGCATTTGAATTTGTCCAGTAAACTAGTTAGCAAGATCTGTCGCCTAGACTGCATTTGGATTTGTCTAGTAAACTAGCTAGCAAGATCTGTCGCCTGGACTGCATTTGGATTTGTCCAGTAAACTAGTTAGCAAGATCTGTCGCCTGGACTGCATCTGGATTTGTCTAAACTAGATAGTAAGATCTGTCGCCTGGACTGCATCTGGATATGTCTAAACTAGATAGTAAGATCTGTCGCCTGGACTGCATCTGGATTTGTCTAAACTAGATAGTAAGATCTGACGCCTGGACTGCATCTGGATTTGTCTAAACTAGATAGTAAGATCTGTCGCCTGGACTGCATTTGGATTTGTCTAGTAAACTAGTTAGCAAGATCTGTCGCCTGGACTGCATCTGGATTTGTCCAGTAAACTAGTTAGCAAGATCTGTTGCCTGGACTGCATTTGGATTTGTCCAGTAAACTAGTTAGCAAGATCTGTCGCCTGGACTGCATTTGGATGTGTCCAGTAAACTAGTTAGCAAGATCTGTCGCCTGGACTGCATTTGAATTTGTCCAGTAAACTAGTTAGCAAGATCTGTCGCCTAGACTGCATTTGGATTTGTCTAGTAAACTAGTTAGCAAGATCTGTCGCCTGGACTGCATTTGGATTTGTCCAGTAAACTAGTTAGCAAGATCTGTCGCCTGGACTGCATCTGGATTTGTCTAAACTAGATAGTAAGATCTGTCGCCTGGACTGCATCTGGATTTGTCTAAACTAGATAGTAAGATCTGTCGCCTGGACTGCATCTGGATTTGTCTAAACTAGATAGTAAGATCTGTCGCCTGGACTGCATCTGGATTTGTCTAAACTAGATAGTAAGATCTGTCGCCTGGACTGCATCTGGATTTGTCTAAACTAGATAGTAAGATCTGTCGCCTGGACTGCATCTGGATTTGTCTAAACTAGATAGTAAGATCTGTCGCCTGGACTGCATCTGGATTTGTCTAACCTAGATAGTAAGATCTGTCGCCTGGACTGCATCTGGATTTGTCTAAACTAGATAGTAAGATCTGTCGCCTGGACTGCATTTGTATTTGTCTAGTAAACTAGATAACTAGATCTCTCACGCAGACTGCATTTGTAGTTGTCTAGTAAACTAGATAACTAGATCTGTCGCCTAGACTGCATTTGTATTTCTAGTAAACCAGATAACTAGATCTGTCGCCTAGACTGCATTTGTATTTCTAGTAAACCAGATAACTAGATCTGTCGCCTGGACTGCATTTGTGGTTGTCTAGTAAACCAGACAGCTATATCTGTCGTCTGGACCGCATTTGTATTTGTCTAGTATCTCTTTGATAGTAAATATTCATCTGATTTTAGATCTTTTTTTCTTTGTCTATTCAGTGTATTTTTGTTTGCCAGTACAAGCTATTTGCTGACCCTGTTTCATTGTCATAAGATGATAGATTTATTCCAACGGTTCTCTCTTTACGTTCATTAAATAAAAATCAATGGGATGTAAATAATTTTTAAAATCATTATTTCTAAAATAACGATTCGAATTTTGACCATTTTTAGTTTATTAAAAAATAAAATACGGGGGAAAAGGGGGGTTAATTGTTACCAGCCATGAAGTCCCTCCATTCAATAGCACAATGCATAGAACCGTATTGTTGATAATTTATTGTCCATCAAGTACAATGCCTACTTTGTTAAGTCCAAAGGAAATGTAACACCAATTTGTTTAGAACATAGCGGACTGCAAAATCCGCCGGATCAGAAGAGCAATGTTCTGTGTGTCCTCTTATGGACAAACTGCTAACAAAGACTTAGTGTCAGATCTGCACTGTAGCCACATTAGATTTCTAGCCGTTGGAACCCGGCGATGTGTCCGGTTTCATATTCGGTGATACATCATCATCATCATGATCTATTCTCTTTATGCCTAGTAGCACATGAGGCTTGAGAGAGGACTTTCCATGCTTTTCTGTCCTCTGCAATCTTCAGTGCAGTTTTCCATGACAGAGGTGCAGCCACTCATGTCACTTTCCATCGTTCGTCTCCATATTGTTTTTTGACGCCCCTTTTTCTCGTTCCCCCTAGTATCCGCGTGAGAGCTGTTTTGCCAGGTATATCAGGATTCATCGTATTTTTGCTGATACAATTGATTTTAAAATACCCTGCGTACCTGTATACACTTAAAGTAGTCAAGATTACAGACGTAAACTTATTCGATTTAGCAGTAACACATAAAAGCTCACCTATTGAATTGTTCAGATGTAGCAAAGAATTCGTGTGTCATTGCAGACTTTACCCTTGAAGGCTGGTACACGTACTTATAGGCTCGCCATAACGGTTCTGTAGACTTCCTGTAGCGTTTTACAATGAGATCTTCTTCAGGATTTGTTGGGCCCCACGTTGTAACAAAGAACTGGGTGTAGAAGTAAAAACCTGCAGCGTTGGGTTCCTTTTGCATTTGCTCCTGAACAGTACAAATTCCAAGTGTTTAAATCAACTACGAAATTATTTTTTACTGCAAAAAATTGTTAATGCGAACTTGCTTAGGAAAAACATACGGTTCCTTGACGTCATCGTCATCATACACACTTCTTCTACGGTTAGGCGACGCTGAGGAGGAATAGTTTACGATCTAGTGCACGTTCGCTGCCACTGGGTATTGTGATGTCGTTAAGGCATGTTGTCGATCCACGCTTTTCGCGGTCGTTCTCTCGATTTTGTAGCTGACCTTTTGAGATGTAGTGCTTGTGTTGGTATTTGATACACATTCGATTAACACGAAAAACATTGTGGTCTGCAAGGATATATTAGTGTGAGTTAGCATTAAACGAGGTTTTACTGCACTTGATGGCCTCGACTTACGATAGAATTACGTTCCGACTGACAGGTCGTAAATCGAATCTGTTAAAAGTCCAGTTTATATTTTCCAACAGTGTTTTCATTCAAACGATTTTCTCCAAGCCAGGCTGGTGGTAAAGAAGCAGGCAGAAGGACTGGCTAGCTTTGCATTACCTGGTGGTAAATTGATGTATGCCAAGTAAACTATTGCAAGGGCCCTTCGGGAACGAGTGAACACTGCGGAGGCGCAGAAAGATCATTACGGTCAAAAGAGACTGGCGCTGCGAGGAGTTACCAGGGGATCTGGCCGACGATCAACACTCGGGAGAAGGTTGAGACGGTTATGAAATCAAACGGTTACTGGTATCATCGGAATTTGAACTCTTAGCTTGCTGCTGAAGACCAGGATTGAGCACCTATGAGAATGTCCCGAGTGCTGCGATGTCGATTTCTTATTTAACATTTACAATATTTTCATTCAAGCGGATTATTAAAAAGAAATTGTGCATTAAACTCGAATATTCAATGTATATAGCATAAATATTCTACTTAATTTGAAAAAAAAATACATATATGTACTCTGTTGTATGTATAGTACACAAAAGTACAACATGAAATTACTTTCTTTTGTATAGTGTTAATGCGGATAATGTTAAGTCGCATAGGTCGTAATTCGATTCGATGGTGTATTTTGTTTTGATGTAAACTACATCGAGACAGTAGTTATTCCAACTGTCAAAAAATAGAAGACTAGCCACCAGCCAGCTCATCTGTTTATAGTCCGCGTTATATGGCTTGGACCATAATGACTGTTCGCTCTCTTCAATTATATATATATAGCTTTATCCAAGATTTTTTACTCAGCATTGTCTAAATAATTCTGTTATGACAGGTAATCCTTTTGTTCTTCTACTGCGAATGTTAGTTAGGTAGTCGACAGATTATTATCACATCTAACCATTCAGTCCATACGTGCCCTTTGTGTGTGTGTGTGTGTGTGTGTGTCAAGTATCAAGAAAATATGAGTTGTTAACCCTTTGGCTCGGTACTATGGATATCGCAACCCTTCGGCCTTGATTCCATAAGAGGTACTATAAATCTGGGAGAATTGTGGCTTTTCTGCCTACCCCCAGGCGTGAACCCGGACCATAAGGAGTTCGTCACCCGGTCGCCTCGAAGTCAGCTTCAACCAACTACGCTGACGAGCCGGGCCCATACGTGCCCAGATTCCCTTTTCAGTATCTCAGTTAGCGTGTAGCCAGTTCTGTGCTGGTTTACTATTCTTCTTTAGGTCCCTGTGTGGCACTACTGTCTGGCTTCACCCCTTTTAATGTTATGTTCGTGTAGTCTCGTCATTGTTGCAGATTCACAATCATTACTTGATTCGTTTAAGCTCTTTAAGAGCATTCAGTCCTGTCCATTGCTCTTCCGTTCCTCAGGTGAGCATCACTTTGAGCGTCACACCACTGCTAAAAAGGGGGGTTAATACATCTTATTACATCTGGCTACTGGCACCATTAGTATCGCAGCTCTTTGCTGGCTGCTGAAGATGGGAACGGAGCGCTTAAGGGAATGCCCCAAGTGCTATGATATCGGTTTTTGAATCAAATCAAATCACTACATCTGGTTAAAACATCTGGTCTCAACAATCAGTCGGCGGCGGGGCAGTCATCTGCTATTATCTTGATAATCTCGGTAATCTTTGTTTCAGCTTCGTAGCAGACGGATCACCCCAAAGTTGCTCCGCTCCTGTGCCAACAAAAAGCACACAGAAAATCCATTATAGTCGCTTGTGGGCATCATTGACAGACAGCAGTCTCGGTCTATCCACTGGCATACACACGCATTAAAAGCATAAGGCAGCCATCAAAATTGCTGACAGAAACAATCTGACATTACGAAATGCAGTTACTGCTACTGCTTTTATTTATGCGAATTTTCCTGTAGTTTTTCTCGACGGTCAGCTCACCGTCTGGATTCAAGAGCTACTTAAGGAGAAACAAAAAACAAAAACAAAAGATAGATGCGCTACTCATTACAAAATATGATGTAAAGGGTGAATGATCAGTGATTTGTTCAAAATCAGAGATATAACCAGATGTTAATCAGATGTGTTAATCAGATGTTAATCAGACGTGTAACCAGATGTTTATCAGGTGTGTTAATCAGAAATGTTAACCAGATATAAATCAGATGTGTAACCAGTTGTTAATTAGATGTGTTAACTATATGTTATTCAAATGCGTTAACTGCCGTTTTTTCGCAGTATAAGACCACAAGGATTACCGGTCCTGACAGAATAATTTAGACAATGGTGAGTTAATAATTTTGGAAGAAGCTGCAAGTGTTAAAGTTAACAATACTCTTTGTGTATCTGTCTGTCTGTCGGTCGGTCGGTCAGTCTATTTTTTTTCTATCTCGATCTATATTTATGTTTGTTTGTCATCTGAATCTGTGTTTCCAAGTTTCTGTTTCCCTCCGTCGGAACAGCGGGGGTCATGCTTTGAGCAAAGATGTCGCCAAACAGCACTGAGATCTATAATGCAAACCTCTGCACACCCTAACAGTTCTTAATACCAATGCAAAAGCTATACATAAGTTACTGCTGTTAAATCTTTCTCTGGTGTTCAAACCATCCTCTACTTATTATAAAATCGTTTCATTCACAGTTTTGGCTTTCTCAGTCTTGGAGGGATCAATATTCAACACAATTTTATTGAAGTTTAGGTTATCAGTTTATCTATTTATTTAATTTCTTCATATTCGCTTCCCCCCCCCCCCCCCCCCATTGTTTTAAACCCCTTATTTTCTTCGTGCTACTTTCTGCTTTTATCGTTTCGTAATATAGCGGCTCATATTCATAGTTTCGATATAATATATTTATTAGTAACATGTTGACCATAGATTTATATTAGCTCTGTTTTCTTGTCCATTAAGTGTTTCGGTCAAAGTTTAGGCTGTTCGGCTGTATTTGGCCGTGTATTTTCCACCCCTTCGTTGAGTTTTGTAGTCCCATTGTATATTGAGCACGTCTTAAACTCTAAAAAGCACAAAGTTAATAAAAAACATGTTATAAACCTTTAAATTACCTTCAAAAATTCCTTGAGAGTCACATTTTGTCTAGGAATAATAAACTCATCCGCATCATGGCCCATGATGTAATCATAGCCGGCAAGTCTTTGCCTGCACTCTAAAACAGGCATTGTTTCGTCATGATCAAACTGTTCTGTGTGTATAAATTTATCTGCCAACGATCTGTTTTGTGGCTCGCCAGGAAGTTCATACGGCTGCAGGTCTAGAATACCCAAATTCTGGTAATACCTGAAAACTCGTTTTATAGTTTCTGGATTTCCCAAATCAAATATCAAAATTTTATCCACACCAAGTAGTCGCTGAACCTCAAACCATTCTATGGTCTTTTCGGGGTCAAGTCCGCCACTGTGGGCGATTTTTCCACATATGGCGATTCCTCCAGGTACTCTGGTGGGATGCAGAATGGGAATATAACCCTGTAAATCATTAGAGCAAATTGTAGAAGACAACGTGACATAGGAGTCTCGCAGGAAGTCCGAGGTTACTGGAACTCTGCAGATGAACTGACGAGCAATGTAAGCTTTAGGCTCGTTATCATAATACCCATATTCGTGATAAAGGTCTGCGGTGACTACTTGCAATGTCTTCTTGTCTCGGAATAAAATACAGCAGAACAACTGAACTCTGGTCTTGCCTACATGGGGGGAAAAAATGATCAGATTCAGTTTCCTATTTGTAAAAAATATCTAAGCATCAGAAAGGTCAGAATACGTTTTTTTTTTTTTTTTAACATATGATAGTTTTTGTGCGTGTGATAATTACACAGGATAATGTTTTCTACGTTTAAATAAAAAACAAAAAACATAAGAATAAGTGTTTTAAAAAGCCGGTTAGTTGTGTACCCTTTACGTGACGTGTTTTTCTAGACAAAATTACTTTCATTATTTTTCCATTGCCCCGAACGGGCAGCAATGTTGAAAACAAAGCAAGAAGGTCTGCTGCCAAATCGCCTGCAGCTAGGATCGAAACCCACACTCTGTCATTACGAAGCGCGTTCTCAACGCCTAAGTCATAGATGCCGACAATAAGTGTATACATGTAATTTAGAGATATAAAGAAAGGAAAGTAAAGATCCCTTTACACGCCTTTAGGCGTATGGGGCATATCGAAAGAGAATCTATATTTTTACAGACCAATCGGCACTATGTAGGTAATGTGGTCAGCATTACGCCGGCCGTCTTCACCTCCCCCGGACATACATCCTGGTACCATTTTAGGCTGGGTCGACCTGCGACGCCCCATACCGTGATAAAAATCCACGCAGCCTGCAGTGGGTTTCGATCGCGATACGTTGGAATTATGAGTCACACTCGCAACGTCAAAGCCACGGACGCCGCTCTTCAAGATATAAATTATATATATATATATATATATATATATATATATATATATATATATATATATATATATATATATATATATAAAGAATAGTTTTTCTAAACTATAAATATAATAGAAATAGTTTCCTAAATGTAATAATCTAATTTGAAAAAAAAAAAATTGCAAAATGTGTCTGTTAAAGGTGCCAATACGAAAGTGTACGCAGTTATGTTTATATACCAGTGACTTTACTTGCAATTAACCTTATATACCAGTGACTTTACTAGCAATTAACTTTATATGCGACTGACTTTAGGTGCATTTAATTTTATATGCGAATAACTTTACTTGCAGTTAACTTTATATACAAATCTGGTAATCTAGTAATCTTAGTTTCAGCTTCATAGCAAACGGTCACCCCATAGTTGCTCCGCTCTTGTGCCAACGAAAAACACATAGAATGTTTATCACAGTCCCTTGTGGACACATTGACAGACTTGGAAGTAGAGACGTACATTGTGATGTTCACCGTATTGCTCACCGATCACCGACTGGTTTATAGAAATACATGGCTAACACCAAAAGCCTGATGCGCCACTGGTGTAAAAATGGGGGTTTACTTTTGAACCACTTATATATGCAACAAACATCTAATACAGCTAGCTTTATATTCAACTAACTTTACCTCTTTAAATGCACCAGAACATTTAGCTGGACAACTATGAGGCAACCACAGACTCAGGTAACAAAAGGTATGAGAATATAACTGTCACAGATGCAGCAACACACAGACCAAAGAAAAGCAGAGTAGCTAGCCAGGTTTTTACAGTACTAATAAGCTAAACACTCGTGAATTATTTCGTGGTTTAGCACTCATGTGCAATAACTGATCACACATGACGCGATGATTGGGACTAAATTAGATAAATGCAGTTAATTTCAGTGAAAGCCTCTTGATAAATACCTAACTGTTATTGTGATGCTAACTTGCCTAGTGTGGTGATTACAATGCTTGTTGTCGTGTTGCTATCAGCTGTGTTGTCAGCTTCCCCTGGCAGATGCACGAAAGCTGAATACATGTAGATGTGTGGACTTCGAGATAAAACAAAAGGTTTTACGCTCACGATCTTTGCGGGCAGTAGCTGTTGTGACCATTTCTGATATACGACGAGGGCTGATGACATCTGTAAAAAATAAATGCATGTGTATAATTATACGCAATAATTAAATAGCAGTAACTAAAATTAAAAGTACTTTTTTCTTCTAATTACGTCATGGAAGTGTGGGGGAAAAAATGGGTGGGATACATACATACATACATACATACATACATACATACATACATACATACAGACAGACAGACAGACAGACAGACAGACAGACACACACACAGACAGACACACACACACACACACACACACACAGCACACATGCATGCATGCATGCATACAGACAGACAGACAGACAGACAAACAGACAGACAGACAGACAGACAGACAGACAGACAGACAGACAGACAGACAGACAGACAGACAGACAGACAGACAGACAGACAAGACAAGACAGACAAGACAGACAGACAGACAAGACAGACAAGACAAGACAAGACAAGACAGACAGACAGACAGACAGACAGACAGACAGACAGACAGACAGACAGACAGACAGACAGACAGACAGACAGACAGACAGACAGACAGACAGACAGACAGACAGACAGACAGACAGACAGACAGACAAACAGACAGACAGACAGACAGACAGACAGACAGACAGACAGACAGACAGACAGACAGACAGACAGACAGACAGACAGACAGACAGACAGACATATGCTTGTGTATGTATGTGCGTCATTGACACAGAAGAGGTAAATCACTGCCGTTCCTCGTGATCTGAATGTTAATGGGCACCGGCGCTTATGAAGTATCGTTTTACTTAAACTAAACTATCACCAAAATGCTCTACTATAACTTGAACAGAACAGTTAATTATGGTGAGGAAGGATATAGTTCTGGAAAAAAAGAGAAGGCAATGATCAGCACGATAGTGGACATGGGATATCAAGGATACATTAGGATAGCGTGGACATGGGACACCAAGGAAAAATTGGACATTGGATATCAGGGATACTTTGACCAAGATTGGACATGAGATATCATGGACAGTTTGGCCAATAGTGGACATGGGATACCAAGAACACTTTGACCATAAGTAAACATGGGATATCAAGGACACAGTGGGCATGAATGGACATGGGATATCAAGGACACAGTGGGCATGAATGGACATGGGATATCAAGGACACGGTGGGCATGTATGCACATGGGATATCAAGGACACAGTGGGCATGAATGGACATGGGATATCAAGGACACAGTGGGCATGAGTGGACATGGGATATCAAGGACACAGTGGGCATGAGTGGACATGGGATATCAAGGACACAGTGGGTATGAGTGGACATGGGATATCAAGGACACAGTGGGCATGAGTGGACATAGGATATCAAGGACACAGTGGGCATGAGTGGACATAAGATATCAAGGACACAGTGGGCATGAGTGGACATAAGATATCAAGGACACAGTGTGCATGAGTGGACATAGGATATCAAGGACACAGTGGGCATGAGTGGACATAGGATATCAAGGACACAGTGGGCATGAGTGGACATAAGATATCAAGGACACAGTGGCATGTATGGACATAAGATATCAAGGACACAGTGGGCATGTATAGACATGGGATATCAAGGCCACCCTGGTCAAGAAAGTTCAGGGGACACGAGAACTGGCCCTTTAGGATATATCTTCAATTAATGCCTGCTTGTAATTGATATAGTATGTCATTGGGGCGGGGGGGGGGGGGTACATTGAGGAGTGGGTGGGAGAAAAGAAAAAAAAGGAGGGGGGGAGGGAGCCTGTTTTCTTGTTCACCTGCTGTAAACTCCAGGGGGAAGTTGTGGTTGTTCGTCCACTTCAGGACTTCGTTCTCGTTTCAGAACTTGATTTATGTGGTACATCCATTTTACAGACGTTAGTTATCTGTATGCAGATTCTTCGCCTTTCGTAGACAAATGCCATTCGATTTCGAAAGAAACACCCCGTTAATCGTATTTTACTCCCAGCATGTGGTTATTTTCTTTTATCTCATCAACAGGGCCTAGAAAGGCACATGGAAAGGGCATTTTTTCTTTGATAAGGACTAATATCTTTCGCTTCCATGCATTTAACTGTTATCTTCAGCGTACCAACATGTCATCTTGATACGGGACGCAATTTCTCGTTATTTTAAAGCCACAATCCGGCAGTAGCCGGGAGCGCCTAATTTAACCTAACGGTTGAGCAGGGTTTTTGGAACCTCTTCCCCGGGTGATCCTCATCCGCTTGGTAGCACTTTGTGTCACCGGGTGTTTATCGTTTGGTGGATGTCCCGGTGGGGTTGCATCTCACTCATTGTACTGTTTTAGGAATGTAAAAATTCAGCAGTGATTTTTATTTTATTTTACTTACCGAAACAAATATCCAATTCCAGGATAGAAATAGTATTACAAAGATGCAGACAGCGATTATCGTATTGATGTTCTTCAT